TGTTTTAAGTACTATAAAGAGTGTGATAATGCCTATAAATAAAAGATCTCACGAGATACAATTATCCTTGTATATCAATACATTGGATCCAAATACTTATCCTAGAAATATCAAGAAGAAAAGTGGTAGATACTAAGTTATATCACTCAGATGTATAGTATTTCTAAAACACTTAATATTTCCAAGAGGCATTTCATTATGTCTGTTTCTATAAACTCAAATCTGTGGAGTTAATTTTGCCATATATTTTTTTTAATTTGGAAAAAAAAATCCCCAAATATCCATTCATCTTCATCATCTTAGAATTAGAATTACAATTAGTGGGGTTATCTCATTCTACTTCTTAACAAATTATAATTAATTCCATGTTAAAAGATTAGTATCTTTTAAAAAGTAACTAGAAAGCCAATATGTTAAGATGATACAAATACACAGGGGTATTCTGATGCCTTAACAAAGATTTCAGAGGTAAGGCCATGCCATAATCCCCATCACTGGGACTGGTAATTTTACTGTACCCATATAGATCTTTGCTCATCAGAAGTACTCTCCACAGTATGATTCAAGTAACTAGTATTTGTTGAGGGCCTAAAATATAGCATACATTATGGTAGGAATATTGAGTGTTACTAAAGTGAACCAATATTCCTTCAACTCACTTTTATTGATTGTCTACTTCATGGCAAGCAGTGTGCTAGGCCATGACGATTCAGAGGGAACTAAAAATTGTTCCTGCAATTGCAGCTTACAATTTAGTGGGGGCAGAGGAGACTTGCAGGAGGTGGTGACATATGGAGAGCTAGGGTAAGGGCAGTGGATACTGGAATTCTAGATGGAGGTCCCAGCTTGAGCAGAGGCAAAGAGATAAGAAACAGCATGCTATGAACAGGAAAATATAAGCCATAAGGGGAAATGTCAGTAGATTAGGCTGATAGACAGGCAGGGTCCAGTTCTATATACCATGTTATGGAGCTTAGATTCTATCCTGTGGGTTAAGGGAAAATCACAGAATAGTCTTAGGCAGTAAAGTGGCATCTCAATCTAGCAGCAAGCTGGGGAATGGATGTGAAGGTGACAAGGATGAAGGCAAGATGATTGGTTAGGGTGGTGAAACGGGCCTGAATCAGGGAAGTGCTGGTAGGGAGGAAAAGAAGAAATTTTTAGGTCATATATTATTAATACTTGCTGATAAGTATAAGTGAGAAAGAGGAACCAAAGATCAACAATGAGATAGGCGGAGATATATTTAACTGAGACAGAAAACACAGAAAGAGGAGGGATTTTTTTGAGGGGTTGGGATGGAGGTTTAAGGGGGTGAGGGGGGGATAAATTCTGTTTTGAATATGCTGAATTTAGGATGACGGTGGGCTGTCAGGTGAGGAAGCCCAGGTGAAACTCTGAGCAAAATGTGGTACAGAGATAAATATTTGGGAGATGTCAGATAATTGAAACCATGAGAATCTAGATGAAATCATCTAGGCAGAATAGGGAATGAGAAGAGTAGCAGGTTGAGAACAAAACCTCAGAGACCACTGGTATTCAAGGGTCAAGAGAGTAAGAGAAGCCCACGAATAAGAGAGTTGAAGAATCGCCAGAAAAATACAAGGAGACCCAGGAGAGTGAAGTGACCAAGGAATTCCTAGGTTTGTTTGGCAAAATGATTTTACAAAATCAGAATTTGAATGCCTTTAGGCAAAACATATACCACCTTCCATTTCAACTAAGACCCCATCATTACTCATGGTGCACCATTTTCTGTGACCTCTATTACCTCTGAAGGCTTGTGTGTTTGTGACCCCTAGAATAGAAGCCTCCAAAAAAGAGGGAGTCATTATAAGTGTCATATACAGCAGAGAGGACCAGAAAGACAGGGAATGAAAAATGCCCACTAATGTAGCAACAAGAGGGTCATGGTGATCTTAACAAGGCTAGTTCTTCCCCACCCCTTAGGCTGTGGTCATGATGGCAGAATCCAGGTTACAGAGGGGTGAAAAGGAAATAGATATGGTGAATGTAGCTACTCTTAAGAAATCTGGAGAGGGAAGGAAGAAAGACAAGACAGTAGCTAAAGGGGAACATAGGCCTAGGAAAGCTTTGTTTTATTTCGTTTTTAAAGAAAGAGAGAAACTCTGAATATGTTTATAGGCTGTTGCAGAGAGAGGTAATATTAGAGAGATGCGGCTGCCTGATGGAGTGAGATTTGGGAGGAGGCTGGAAGAGAAGGGTACAGAAGGCACAAGTGAAGTGGTAAGCTTTGGACAAGTGAAGGAACTCCTTGACCTCTGAGGCTGGAAGAAGAGAGCATAAGAATTCAGATCTAATTAAGATCTAGTGCAGGTTTTTCAGCAGGAAAGCTACATGATTAAACTGTGTTTTAAGAAAATTAGTTTGGCACAAGCATGCAGAATGTATTGGAGTGGAGAGAGGTGGCAGACTGTTGCAATAGTCCAAGCAGGAGTTGATGGCAACCTAAACTAGAGTGGTGCCAGTAGAAATGGAGAAAATGAAAAATCCAATAGACACTTCAAATATATGAGGACATAATTCTGGGACAGAGTGGCACTAGACAAGTCAAGGAAAAGGAAGAGTTAAAATGACTCAAGGATTTGAAATACTACCCCAGAAGATTAGAGTGGTGGGATCACGATCAGAAATGAGGCAACTGGAATGCACAGCCAATGTGGGGAGGAAAAATGATGGCTTAAGAAATACTGAGTTCAAAGCAATGGTTCTCAAATTTTAAACTTTGAAAAGAAACAAAGTCCTCTATAGAATAGACAACTGCACAGAGAATGGCAAAAATAAGAGGTAGGAGAGAATAAGAAATATTTCATTCAGATAGGACAACTCTAACACTCACATGCCCAAAAAAAATTTAACAGGAGCTGATTATTTTAGATGTTTCAGAATTGGATTAACTGTTTCATAAGGATCATACTTTACCTGATAGAGGGGAAAGTTTCACTACCATAGAAAGGCCAGTTTCTCAGATTCAGTAAAACTTTCTCCTAAACATTTATTTTTCAGATCTCCGACATTTAAGATCAAATGGGCTTTTCAGTTGAGAGAATGTGTACAATACAACTAAATAATTTTTCCAAACAATATACATTGGTTAGTGGTTCAAGTACTGGTTTGCTGCTTTTCGGGTTTTGGCTTCAATTAATACCAACAGTTACTTCCAGCACCACTACTTCACACTCCTAATTCCAGAATTTTTAAGCTGGGAGGGACATTATACCTATCACAAGGCCCTGGATATGGCAAGTGTGAGTGCTTTGCTTTTAATTGAAAATAGGTTGATAAGTACTTCACCATGATTGTGTGAAGAGTAGAATGGAACCACAAATAAGTTTCTGGTAACTTAAATTCTGTTTCCTTGCTCCTCCTCTGTTTTCTGAATGTTAGAAAATAAGAAGGGGGAGGAATGTTGGGAATATAAAGTTATAGACTGGAATAAAAAACCTTTTTCTGTTCAGTCGTGTGAAATAATCTGCATGAAAGTAACCTTTGGTGCCAGAATCATAATTAGTTTGAGTAATAAATTGTCGCCCTACTGATGAAAGGAATAAAAGTAAAACAGCGCAGTAAGCTGGCATCTGATCATTGTAGGCTATCTGCAAAATTCTTGGACCAAGAAAAACTATTAAAATAATTGCCTAACCAAAAAGCAGGTCTAAAAATCTTCCCAAACTCTTCCACAATTTCAAAATCTTCCTTAATATATTTTATGCAAAGATCACAAAAGTATATTACAATCAAAATATTTAACATGTTAAAATTAAAAGCTAACATGATGTGGGGAGGTGTTGCGTATTCTAATACATGATTTCTGATAATTTGAACTCAATTGAAAGTCAAAGGGACTAGGTGAGCTATTATCAAAATTAGAGGCAGTGATATGAAAATGCAGGAAAAGACAGCATAGTTAAGAGCATGAACACGACACACACTCAAACTTCCAAGCATTTACAGCCCAAGCACATAAAAAAGAAAAGGCACTCTTCAAAGCCCAGAGAGCCATTAAAATTTTCTTTTGCTTTGCAACTACTATGCTATGAGGTCTCTTCTCCTTTTATTTTCTCAAATATGATCCAAGATTTCAATTTTTTAAAAAAGTCACTCTGCGTAGGTTTTCAAAAAAAAATCAACCTCAGCTCCTGGGGGAATAATTTCCATAAGGATTTCAGGTCTGCATATTTAATGTTTGGGCATACAAAATCTCCTACAGGTATCTGAACTTATCTCAGAGCTGAAAGGCTTTGGAAACCATCTACCCCACACCCCTCATTTTTACAGATGGAGAAATTAAGGCCCAGAAATAGGAAGTAACCTGAGCAAGGTCACAGGGCCAGTAAGAAGCAAAGCTGGGACCAACTTCCAAGAGCCCTCACTCTCAATCTATTGCTCCCTTACTTTTCACAACTGCCTCTTAATCTGAACTTCTAATTGTGTGATATTTAATGAATGTCAGAATGAGTTATCAAGACATGGAAAGGATTATTATATTCATTCACATAAGCATTAGATAAGAAGAATGGATGAATGAATATGTGGGTGGGTGGATATTCTATATTATTCACAAAACATATCATGTTTCTGTTTTGAAGAATCCAAGCCTAGATCTTGTCACATGTCACAGCAGTCACCGTGTTCCACTACACACCAATCTTAGCAGCAAAGAATCCTCTGGTACATCCTGCAGTTTAAAGCATACACAGGAGCAAGGAGACTCACCTCTACTCCACTCCCTCTTGCTCTCAAACCTCTAACCTCCCTGTCCTATACGCACTCTTTACCTGATGTTGGTGCATCACATTTGCATTCTCCTCACTTCCTTTACACCTATCTCCCTCGGTTTCTCAGTTTAGACCAGGTGTCCTTTTCTAACTGCATGCCTCAGTCAGCCCTCCCCCACCCCACAGGCCCCTCGACCACCTTCTCATTCCTCTGTCGACAAATCTCAGCGTTTTCAAACCCCATGGCCCCCTCTTGCTTACACAGTGATGTGGCCGGCGCCCCGCACCAATACAGGATCGGGGGCATATCTCCGCAGATGCTCCTCACTCACTACCCGAGGCGGGGGTGGCGTCTCTTCCTCCTCCTCTTCTTCTTCTTCCTCATCCTCCTCTTCTTCCTCGTCCTCCTCATCTTCCTCGTCGTCGTCGGGCCCCGATACCGACGACGACGACGGCGACGACGACGACGTTGCCGCTTCTTCTTCCTCCTCCTCCAGTTCCGAGATGGTGTCGAACTCCGCCATGTTGGGCAGCAGGATGCTCATCACGTGACCTCTCAATCGCCGCCACCCTCACGGAGAAGAGTTTGAACCTGCCGAGGTGCTGGAAGAGGAGGGGGAACGAAATGAAGAGAAAGAGGACCGGGGTAGGGACAGGATTTGAAGAGATGCGCCTGCGTGTTGGGGCAGACGGGGGAGGGGGGGTTGGAGGCGGGGGCACGAGGGAGAGAGGAGCAAAATCAGTCTACGCTTGCGCGGTACAAAAGGAAGGGGGGCGTTGGAGGTGAACTCCAGGGAATTATCGAGGCCCGGTCTGCGGGTTCTGTGTTTAATACTGCTCTTTGGGCTTGAGCTGCTTGGGGCCAGGGGACATATCTTCTGGCTTTATTTCCTATTAATTAGTCGTGGGTATTATTAACCACACACCCACACGCAGTGCGGGGAATGCATATTCTATAACATGAGGTTAGAACTTTGCCCCAGATATCTAAAGGTATATACCAATCCCTTGCATTTGTTTGTTCAGCATTACAGTTTAAAAGACTTTTGCATCAGAATTTTGCCACCCTGGGAGGCATTTTTATTAACATTTTACTGAAGAGGAAACTTTCTATTACTACTTCTCCTACTGTAATACTTAATAAAAGACAGTGTCTGGGACTGTGCTAAGCACTCTTTGTGTATATCCCATTTAATACTTCACAACTGCATGGGATATGTACCAGAATGATCTCGCTTTACAGATGGGAGACCTAGATGCACGGAAGATAAGTAACGTGCCCAACCAAGGTCATGGAGTTACTAAACGGCAGACCTGGTTTTAAACTTGGAAATCTCTTCTGATTTCAAAAGCCCGGTACTCTTACCCAAAGGGCTACACTGACTGAAGTTGTTTGGAAAGGTTTTGTAGAGTGATTCCTTTGGGCTGTTTCTTGAAAGATGTTTGAAGTTTGGAGGTTTTGTTTGTTTGTTTGTTTGTTTACAGGGGAGAAGGGCATGGAGGGGGTGGAGGGAGTATTCCAACCTAAGGAATGATTAATTAATATCATCCATCTTCCAGACACTGATCTAGTCTCTTTCATGTACAGTATCTCAGTTAACCCTTAAACAATCCTGTGAGGTAAGTATTATCATATCTATTTTATAGCTGGCAAAACTGAATCTCAGGAAGTTTAAGTAATTTATTAAGGTCTGTGGTAAGATTTTTTCAAAATTGCCATTTCAAATATTTTTTCCTCTCTTCTTCACACCAACTAAAATGTTGTAGAGATCACATATTTTGAGTTTCCAATCCATGTGTCAAACTAATACTTAGCAGCAGCACAAAAATCCTTGTCATAATTCAGGGATCATTAAGACAGTAAAGTCATGTAGCTGCTAATTAATAAAACAAATCCTGTAATCCAGGTATTTTAATATCAGCTTCACTGCTCTTTATGCTACACTACAGCTCCATCCCAATTCGATGGTGAGACTGAGGAAACAGATATAACTGCGCTTTATTTTTCTAAAGATTTATTCATTTATTAGAGAGAGAGAGAGAGAGAGAGCAGGGGGAGGGGCAGAGGGAAAGAATCTTCAAGCAGACTCCAAGTTAAGTATGAAGCCGGACATGGGGCTGGATCCCATGACCCATGAGATCATGACCTGAGCCGAAACCAAGAGTCAGTCCCTTAACCGACTGAGCCACCCAGGCACCCCATAAACTGTACTGTAATTTAATATGAGTATTATGCTAGCAGTATAGCGATATAAACAAAGCATTTAGGATGCATGAGGGAAGAAGAAATTAGTTTTGTAAGTGACACTGTTCAAACCATTATTATTATCAGTAAGTTTGTGTTATTAAGGTGAAAAAATGTTTTGTACTCAATACCTTATTTATTTAGAAACTTTAAAAATAGTGCTATGGTCAGCACTGTGAATTGTGTAAGACTGATGAGTCACAGATCTGTACCTGTGAAACAAATAATACATTATATGTTAATAAGAAATATGTTGCAACACTAGCAATAAGCAACAAAATTTAGTTTTTATAGTATAGAGAACTTTACTAGTCTAAAAATATTTTACAAGAGCCTTCTGATAAGACAGATACAATGTAGCTGCTTTTCTTGGATATTAATAAAAACATGTCATATGTCATTCATGGGAGTGAAATACTTTAGACTTAAGATCAAATCAATATTTCACACTAGTTCTTCCCTTTCAAAAAGCAAAAAAGTCAGGCAATACTAAAAATTTTCCAAACATGTTATATTATCCTTAAAAGTCCATTAAGTCACTGACTAGAGGGAAGTATTTTGCTGATTACAACTTAAATGCGAGTTTCTCCTTTTCACCAGTCAGGATTAGGCTAAGAAGGGATATTTGAAGGAGATAAAGGGAAAGGAATATAAAGGGCGAACTTTGTGGTAAGTGCAAGTGAGATACTGGAACTATGGTAAAAGTGGAGAAATGATGGCTGTGGAGGATGGGTGAGGAGGAGAGGGAGGGGCAAATTATACTGCCAAAATGGAGAGTGGTCTCTGATATTTAGTCAGATGTCAAAAAAAGAACAAAGCAATGCTATTGCTTGGAGAAACTCACAAGTATGGTCTGCTTTCTTGCATATACACTGTGCTGAAAATGCATATATAATTCCAAAAGTAATTTTTTTTTTGCTGATCCATAGGAGAATTTGGAGTTGGGCAAGCCAAGAAAAATACCTTTTGTCAGTAAACACAAGGAGTGACATGATATTTATTTTTTTTAAAGATTTTATTTATTTATTTGACAGAGAGACACAGCGAGAGGGAACACAAGCAGGGGGAGTAGGAGAGGGAGAAGCAGGCTTCCCTCTGAGCAGGGAGCCTGATGCGGGGCTCGATCCCAGGACCCTGGGATCATGACCTGAGCTGAAGGCAGACGCTTAACGACTGAGCCGTGATTTTTAAATGAAAGTTTAGCAACCATCAAGAATACTAAGGCTAGGAGTGGGTGGAGAAGAAAACAGGCCATATAACTTTCTGTCTGATGAGCTAAGCAGGGCATGGGGGTAATTACCCTGTCTAATGGATGGGGACCTGAGGCAAGGGGTCGCAGGTTTAACCATCTGTTCAATCTTAGAACAGCTGAAAAGAAATATAACTTTTAAAAGAATCCTCCCTCCCTCCCTCCCTCCCTCCCTCCCTCCCTCCCTTCCTTCCTTTCCTCTCTCTCTCTCTAAGTGTAAAATTCAGTGATTTCAGTAAATTTACAGAATTGTGCACCTATTACTACAAACTAACTTTAGAACATTTCTGTCACACCCAAAAGAAATCACTATCTCATTTTCAATCATTCCCCATTTTGACCCTTAGCCCCAGGCAATAATTAATCTACTTTCTGTCTCTGTAGATTTCTTTTCTGGACATTTCAAATAAATTGGATCATACAATGTGTGGTCTTTTGTATCTAGTTTCTTTTGCTTAGGATAATATTTTTGAGGTTTATCCATGTTGTGTCTTGTATAAGTACTTCATTCCTTTTAATTGATAAATAGTATGACATTGTAAAGATATATCACATTTTGTTTATCCATTCACCAATTGATGATATTTGGGATTTTGGATATTATGAAAATACTGCTATGAAAATTCACATACATGTCCTTGTGTGAACATAGGTTTTAATTTCTCAAGGGTGGATACCTATGAGTGGAATTACTGGGTCATATGGTAAGAGTGTTGATTTTAAGATAACTGCCAAACTATTTTTCAAGGTGGATCAATCAGTTTGCATTCCCAGTAGCAATGTATGAGAGTTCCATTTTCTCCACATTCTCTCCAACATCTGTTATTTTCTTTTTGGATAGAGCTATTCTCGTGGGAATGAAGTGTATCACATTGTAGGTTTATTTTATATTTCTCTAATGACTAATGATGTTGAACATCTTTTCATGTGCTTGTTTTTCATTTATATACCTTCTTTGATGAAATGTCTATTCAAATCTTTTGCCCCATTTATTAAGCTTTTTTTTCAAGATAATTAGAGATTCACATATAATTATAAGAGCTAGTACAGGCAGGTCCTGTTTACACTTTACTCAGTATTTCCCAATGATAACATCTTGTGTAACTATAGTACACTATCACAACCACAAAATTGACATGATACAATCTGCCCATCTTACTCAGAGTTCCACAGTCATACATGTATTCATTTGTGTGTTTGTGTGTGTGTGTGTGTGTGTGTGTGTGAATTTAGTTCTATGAAATTTTACCACAGGCATAGGTTCATACGACTACCACCATAGACAAGATAAAGAACAGTTACATCACCACAAGGATTCCTCCTGTTATCTTTTTTTTTAAGATTTTATTTATTTATTTGAGAGGGAGAGGGAGCAAGCAAGCGAGAGCACAAGAGCAGGGGGAGGGAGAAGCAGACTCTCTGCTGAGCAGAGACCCAGGACTCTGGGTCTGTGTGTGTCTGTGCCTGTGTCTGTAAAATTCTTAGGGTTTTCTACATATAAATTTATGTAATCTGTGAATGAACACAGTTTTATCTGTTTCTTTCTAATCTGGATCTTCTCCCTCCCTCCCTTTTATCTCCTTCTTCTACTTCTCCTTCTCTTCTTTTTGCTTCTCTTTCTCCCTCCCCCCATCTCTGTCTGTTCCTTTTTTAAGGATTTCCAAAATTTAAATTAATTTTCAATTAAAAAATTCAATTTCAATTTGAATGAAATTTTCTTCTGTTGTTGATTTCTAATTTTAATTCCAGTGTGGTTCAAGGACATAAATTGTATGATATAAATCCTTTTAAATTTCCAAAGACTTGTTTTGTTGCTTTACCATATCATTTATTTTGAGAAAGTTTTATGTACATTTGAGAAAAATTTATATTCTGTTGTTATTGGTTGGATTATTCTAAAAATATCAGTTACATCTACCTTATAGTTCTATTTATGTCTTCTATATCCTTTTTGATATTCTGTCTCATTTTGCTGTCCATTACTTAGAATGGATCACTGAAGTCTTCAACTATTATTGTTGAATTTTCCATTTTTTATTCATTTTTGTTAATTTTTGCTTCATGTAGTATGGGGCTCCTTTCTTAGGTACAGATATGTTTACAGTAATTATATTTTCCTGATGAATTAATCCTTAA